CAATACTCGCCATGTTAGATATTGGCTTAGCCATATTAGATACTATCAATACATGATAATATTAGAGAATGCCTATGCTTTGCTATATTGGAGACGATCAACACTTGGCCATATTAGGGAATTTCAATGCTATATCGGAGAATATCAAAACATGATCATATTAGTGAAAGAAATGCTATGTTTGAGATTATTAATACATTATCATTTTAGAAACTGGTATTGCTTAGCTATATTAGAGATTTCCAATACCTGGCCATATCAGAGATTTCAATAGATGGCTATATAATAGAAGTTCAATACATAACATTATTAGAGATCGATCAATGCTAAGCCACATGAGACGATGACGCTTGGCCTGTTTAATACTTGCAACATGAAATTAGTTGTTTCTACCGTCTTTTATTATGAAGAATTTAAAATCCAGAAAATGTGCCGTTGCACGGCTAAGTAGCATAAGAACAAATGGATTTTAGAAACCAAACCAAGGCCACACATTTATTCCATTTTCTGTTATTTTCGAAAAGGTCTTTACACAGGTTCACTTTCTGCATATTGATTTTCGTTTCGACCATAATCAGATTGTACTGAGCTAATTGTGGCCACGGCACCATGTACCTTCGTTGTTGGTACTGTCTTCTCGTACCGGTTTTTCTTTCCTATCAGTTAAGTGCTAAGTTTGATAGCTTTATATTTCAGCTTTGTAATGTGAATACCGTTATAAAAATGGGTTTATGTCACTCTCTCTTGCAACAGTTACCTCGCATCACAGACACCTTTATAAATAGAGACCTTTTGCATCTATTTTTAATAGTTACAAAATTGCACACGCCCTATGATACGTCGTGCGTTTAATTTAAAAATAAAATTATCGACGTGGAAGGCTAATGAAGAGTTTCAGATTGCAATTTTTGGCTGTTCTGTATATATAAATACGTTTGAAAGAACTGCTTTACATGTTTTTTCGCTCCCTGAGTAAACCTTTCTTTTAATCTGAAAAGGATCAAGGCTCTGTTTTTTTTATGGATGAATCCAATCACGAAAGGGCGAAATTTATTGAGAAATAAGGAACCGAGAACTCCTCTTACCTTGAACTTGATTTAGATTCTTGCAACAGCACTGATATTATATTGTCACCAGTGAGACTTCCAAGAGAGTTATTTTTCCTTTTCTTTTTCTTTGTATTTCTTTTCATTTGCTTTTTTCGCTCCTTTTTCTTTTGCTCGCTTTCTTGGTTATATCTGAAAATTCTAAATTGAGTATTGATTTTAGTCCTGTTTATTGTAGATGGCGCTGATGAAGGCGATAAGGGAGAGCATAAAACAAGATACATTTCCTGACTTTATACAGAGATTTTTCAGGACAATGTATCCCCTTGGCAACTACCCGCAGTGGTGTACTGATGCTTTAGAGACTGTAGGCGTATTTTTAAAGAGTTAATTTAGATCGCTGCTTGAATAAAATTTGTCTTTCCTATAAATGGCTTTTCTTTCTTGCCCCCTGAGAGCATGAAAGGCCCCTAATTTATAGGAGATGCGGTATTTTCTACTAGTTACTTGACCCAAAAGATTTCTGAATAAATTATTTTCAGTGGCAATACGCTGTATTTTTGCCTTAAGAAATATATTTTCAATATGTTTGTCCTATACACATGCTTAGGAACCTCCAGTTAACGAATTTGTTATTTAGGGGGGTTCAAATCCAGTACGAGTAAGAGTGCGATAACGAGTTTCGGACTGCGCAACCTATTTGCGCACGCTTGGCAGGAACCATCGTACTAACTCTCACTATACTGACAACAGTCGTTCGGGACGACATTATTTGCAAATTGTTGCAAATAGTGAAAAGTTTAGTCATTTTGCCACCCTGTTTAGTCGTGTTGAGTGTTGTTCAGTTTTGATCCTGGTCGAAAATTTTTAGCGTTGTTTAGTGTTGCTTAGCAAATGTTTAGTCGTTTTGCCACCAATCAAACATTTGTTGTGATCGCACAGGCGCTCTATCTGTGGAAACCCGAAGGTTTTCGTCTGTTATCGTTCGTTTTCCTGTCTCTACGTGACCCAAAAAGCCTTTATGAGACATCTGCATATCTCGTTGTACGCCAGTGTCTTCTTCAACAGTCAACTTTGTTGTCAATGTGCTAAAAAGTCTTTTCTTTCCCCGTCGCTTCATCCAATTCGTATTTTTATTCACTGCTTGTGCATGCAACAAAATAAACCAAAAGCAAATTCCTATGCAAGATCCCCAGCAACCCGACAGCGTCATAGACAGCCTACAGTTAAACATTTGTTGTGATCGCACAGGCGCTCTATCTGTGGAAACCCGAAGGTTTTCGTCTGTTATCGTTCGTTTTCCTGTCTCTACGTGACCCAAAAAGCCTTTATGAGACATCTGCATATCTCGTTGTACGCCAGTGTCTTCTTCAACAGTCAACTTTGTTGTCAATGTGCTAAAAAGTCTTTTCTTTCCCCGTCGCTTCATCCAATTCGTATTTTTATTCACTGCTTGTGCATGCAACAAAATAAACCAAAAGCAAATTCCTATGCAAGATCCCCAGCAACCCGACAGCGTCATAGACAGCCTACAGTTAAACATTTGTTGTGATCGCACAGGCGCTCTATCTGTGGAAACCCGAAGGTTTTCGTCTGTTATCGTTCGTTTTCCTGTCTCTACGTGACCCAAAAAGCCTTTATGAGACATCTGCATATCTCGTTGTACGCCAGTGTCTTCTTCAACAGTCAACTTTGTTGTCAATGTGCTAAAAAGTCTTTTCTTTCCCCGTCGCTTCATCCAATTCGTATTTTTATTCACTGCTTGTGCATGCAACAAAATAAACCAAAAGCAAATTCCTATGCAAGATCCCCAGCAACCCGACAGCGTCATAGACAGCCTACAGTTAAACATTTGTTGTGATCGCACAGGCGCTCTATCTGTGGAAACCCGAAGGTTTTCGTCTGTTATCGTTCGTTTTCCTGTCTCTACGTGACCCAAAAAGCCTTTATGAGACATCTGCATATCTCGTTGTACGCCAGTGTCTTCTTCAACAGTCAACTTTGTTGTCAATGTGCTAAAAAGTCTTTTCTTTCCCCGTCGCTTCATCCAATTCGTATTTTTATTCACTGCTTGTGCATGCAACAAAATAAACCAAAAGCAAATTCCTATGCAAGATCCCCAGCAACCCAACAGCGTCATAGACAGCCTACAGTTAAAAAAAGTTGAGTGACATTCAGTGAAAAGTTTAGTCACGTTTTGCCACCCTCGCTAAACTTCGCTCAACTTCACTAAACAAAAGTTGAGTGAAATGTTTAGTGAAATGTTCAGTCGTTTTACCAGGGTTTAACACTGCACGATATTTGTCTCATCCGAGAAATGCCCCTCATCTGCTTACAAACGCCTGAGACTATGTAAGTAATATTGACAACCCAAGATTTGAAGTAACGACTAGTAGACTGGTGCCATTTCTCTAAAATAGTTCTTAAAACGAGATCAAGAGGCATTTTGGGATAGAAACTGGGATCTAGTTTATTTGGGGTATTTTGAACAAGCTGATTTTGAACGAATTTGGCGGATCCCAAGCGAAATTCGCTAATTTAAAGGCTTAATTTGCAAATTCAAAATGGCTGCCCGTCAGAAAACTTCAAGGTATAACCAAGGGACCCTCCGAACCGAATAAAGTTCTGAAAAGTTGTATGATATAGCAACTAAAGACCTGGCAAGTAAAAAAGTTCAAGAATCTTTGCTGCATGCAGCCGATCTTGGTCAGCAACAAATTTTAAGCTTTGTCACGCACAGACTGACACCGTCTGACACAGAGCCCATAGTACCCACGAACCATTAAAAAGATGCCAGAAAACAAAGCGAACTTGCACGATTCATGTCAGAAGAGTTGTTCGCCAAGCAACTGAAGATAAAGAAGATTGTTACAGCGGATGGATTCATCAATGAATTGCTTGCCCAGTCATCTAAATACTACACTGATATCTTGTTATTGATTGCAGACCATAAAGAAGCAGATACCAGACTTGCCCTTCATGCTATCAATGCCACCTGCAATACAGTAGTAGTTGCTGCTAGAGATGCTGATGTGCTCATCATTCTTGTGTCCCGCTGAAAGAATGCGATGCAATGATCTTTGGATGATGTCTGGAACGTCAAAGAAGAGAAAATATATTCCAGTCAAAGAGATTCTTCACGCCTTG